CTCCTCCCACAACCAAAACATCTTAATTTGCTAAAGACTGAAGCATATAAATTTTTACTTTTAAAAGGAACTTAAAGAGTTGGACCAACTTCTCTGGTGGCTCAGACAGTAAAGAATCTGCCTGCAATGTGGCGACCTGGGTTCGATCCCTGGGTTGGGAAGATACCCTGGAGAAGGGAATGGCATCCACTTCATTATTCTTGTCTGGAGAATTCCATGTACAGAGGAGCCTGATGGGTTATAGTCCACTGAAGTCACAAAGAGTTGGACACAATGGAGCCACACACACACACACTCACAAAGGGGTGGGCAGGTGTGTCAAGCTAGAGCAGAGAGCTGCTTTCTCCAGTGATGCAGGAACAGTAACCTATTCAAACGGCCATAATCAAGAACTGTGAGAGGGGACCATTATTCATTTCTGCCCACATTAATTTAACTCTTTGACATATTGCCATTTTGGACAAAAGCCAAAATTCCTGAAACCCCCATGATACAAATCTTTTCATACTTGGATGCTCTAAATTCAAAAGCCTGTACCCATACAGATTGTATAGCTATTTAAATCTGTGACTTTTCTTTGAAATATTCTTTCAATGGTTCCTTCGAGTGGGTTTCAGGCCAAGCTTTCTTACTTTATTCTTTCATTTATATTATACAGGGATTGAGGAGGGGAAGTATTCTAAATAACGCAAAAAAGAAAACTTCCCTCAGAAACAATCACATTCATTTTGGACTTTTAGTATAAACAAAGTCCTTTCATTAATTTTTACTTATGCAAATGCATTATGTTTTGCATAAAGAATTGGCAGTCTTCAAATACAGAAGAAAACTTTTCTCACATTTCAAGAGATTATAAAACTGATCCAGAAATACAAAGGATCATAAAAGACTATTATAAGCCACTAAAACTGAACAGGAAAAAATAAAAAATATGAACAAATCAACCACAAGTACTGAAATTGAAACTGTGATGAAAAAACTCCCAGTGAATAAAAGTCCAGGACCAGATGGCTTCACAGGCAGATTCTATCAAACATTTAGAGAAGAGTTAACACCCATCCTATTCTGAAAAATTGCAGAGGAAGGAACACTCCCAAACTTATTCTGTGAGGCCACCATCACCCGGATTCCAAAACCAAACACAGATACCACAAAAAAGAAAATTATAAGCCAATATTACTGATGAACATGGACACAAAAATCCTCAATAAGGTAACTAGCAAAATGAATCCAACAATATATTAAAAGGGTAACACACCATGAAAAAAACTGGGATTTATCCCAGGGATGCAAGGAGTTTTCAATATTCGCAAATCAGTATGATATACCACATTAACAGACTGAAGAATAAAAAGATATGATCATCTCAACAGATGCAGAAAAAGCTCCTGACAAAATTCAACACCCATTTATGTTAAAACCTCTCCAGAAAGTGGGCATAGAGGAAAACTATCTCAACATAATAAAGACAAAATATGACAAACCCATAGCTAACATCATACTCAAACATGAAAAACTGAAAGCATTTCCACTAAGTTCAGGAACAAGACAAAAATGTCCACTCTCACCGCTTTTTTTTTAACGTAGTTTTGGCAGTCAGAGAAGAAAAAGAAATAAAAGGAATCCAAATTGGAAAAAAGAAGTAAAACATGTCACTGTTTGCAGATGACATGATAGTACACACAGAAAATCCTAAAAATGCTATTAGAAAACTGCTGGAGCTCATACATGAATCTGGTAGAGTTGTAGGATACAAAATTAATACACAGAAACCTCTTGCATTCCTATACACCAACAACAAAAGATCAGGAAGAGGAATTAAGGAGACAATCCCGATTTACCATTGCATCAAAAAGAATAGAACACCCGGGAATAAACCTACCTACAGAGGCAAAAGACCTGTACTCCAGAAACTGTAAGATGCTGATGAAAGAAATGGAAGATGACACAGACTGACGGAAAGCTATACTGTGTTCTTACACTGGAAGAGTCAATATTGTCAAAATCACTATACTGCCCAAGGTAGTCCACAGATTCAACGAAACCCCTATCAAATTACCAAAGGCAGATTTTTACAGCTCTAGAATAATAAAATCTTAAAGTTTGCATGGAAACACAAAAGACCCCGAGGAGCCAAAGCAATCTTGAGAAAGGAAACCAGAGCTGGAAGAATCAGGCTCCCTGACTTCAGACTATACTACCAAGCTACAGAGAGTATGGTACAGTGCAAGACAGACTTATAAATCAATAGAACAGGATAAAAAGCCCGGAACTAAATCCCTGCACCTTTGGTCAATTAACCCGTGACAAAGAAGTCAAGAACGTACAATGGAGAAAAGACAGTCTTCAGTAAGTGGTGCTGGGAGAACAGACAGCCACGTGTAAAAGAATAAAATTAGAACACTAGCACCATACACAAAAAAATCTCAAAATGGATTAAAGACCTAAATGTAAGGCCAGATTCTAAAAAACTTTTAGAGAAAAACATAGGCAGAATACCCTGTGACATAAATCACAGCAAGATCTTCTTCTATCCATAGCCTACAGAAATGAAAATAAAAACAAAAATAAACAAATGCGACCTAATTAAACTTAAAACGCTTTTGCACAGCAAAGGAAACCATAAACAAAACAAAAAGAGAACCCAAAGGACGGGAGAAACTTATTTGCAAATGGTGCAACCAACAAAAGATTAATCTTTAAAATATACAAACAGGTCATGTAGTTCAATATCAAAAACACAAACAACCCAATCAAAAAACAGGCACAAGATCTAAATAGACATTTCTCCAAAGACAACAGAGATAGCCCCCCCAAAAAAGAAAAAAAAACAATCAACAACAAAAACCCATGAAAAGATGTTCAACATCACTAATTATTAGAGAAATGCAAATCAAAACTACAATGAAGTATCACTTCATACTGGTCATAATGGCCAGCATCAAAAAATCTACAAACAATAAATGCTGGAGAGGGTGTGGAGAAAAAGGAACTCTCCTACACTCTTGGTAGGAATGTAAATTGGTACAACCACTATGGAGAACTGCATTGAGGTTCCTTAAAAAACAAACAGAAATACCATGTGATCCAGCAATCCCATTCCTAAGCATATATCTGGATAAAACCATAATTCAAAAAGAATACATATACCCCAGGGTTCATTGCAGCACTACTTACAATAGCCAAGACACGAAAGCAACCTAAGTGTCCATTGACAAATAAATGGATAAAGAAGATATAGCACATATATACAATGGAATATCACTCAGCCATAAAAAAGATTAAAACAATGCCACTTGCAGCAACATGGACGGACCTAGAGATTAACATACTAAGTGAAGTAAGTCAGACAAAGACAAATACAATATCACTTCTATGTGGAATCTAAAAAATTATAGAAATAAACTTATTTACAAAACAGAAGCAGATGTACAGACTTCAAAAACAAACATGGTTATCAAAGGGGGAAAGGTGGAGGGCAGAGGATAAACTAGAAGGTTGGGATTAACATATATATAAACTATATATAAAATAGACAATCAACAAGGACCTGTTGTATAGCACAAGGAACTCCACTTAATACTCCATAATAACCTTATGAAAAAAGAACGTGAAAAAGAATAGATATATGTATATCTGAAACACTTTAATGTATACCTGAAATGAACACAACATTGTAAATCAACTAGACTCCAATACAAAATAAAAATTAAAACAAATAGCATTTAGTTCAGTGACTAATAAAGCAATATTATATCTTATTTGCATAATTCAAAGAGAAATCTGAAAATTACCTATTTCTTTTAAATCGTAAATATTTCAAGGTGACTTTTTTGACTTGAGCAATATGGCCTAGCTATAGTTTGAACCAGGTATCTGACATGTGCCAAATTCTCACTTCATTTTGCAATATGTGGATTATACTTCTGATGTTTAATGCTAAAACCAACAGAAACTATGCAACTTTACCTGCAATTCAAGTAAATACAATCAGCCAGAACCTTTCAAGACGTTGCCTAACTTGCTATCAGCTTTCTCCTCTCAGGTAGCTGTTTATGAAAACCGAGATGCCAAAGGCAGAGGCATTTCAGAAAGACAAAATTGTATATGCCTGCAACTGATTTACCTGTTATTAGTAATTCTAGAAAGCGTGGGCCTTGAAAGCATGTATCAGGTAGGGCATATATAGGACATTCTTAAATCTATATGCTCACTTTTGAATTCAAGAGTGTAACTTAATGACTTATAAAGAGTTGGGATAATTGCTGGAAGGATGGGAGGAGGAAGAGGTCCAGTAATTGAACCAAGATATTAACCACAGAAGCAACAGAAGAGCCTACTGCATCCATTTCTTTCTATTTATTTACTCCCCTCTTCCCATGCTTAATGAAAACAGAAGCCCCAAAGACATCGCAGTACTCCTTAAAACGCCTAGAAGTCACTTCCCAGTAATCACTGAATTTTAACAACGTAATGCCCAGTAGCAGAAGGGTGAAGGGTAGAAAGTAGGGGAGGCACCATAGCAAAGAAGAAAACATATCTTCTCTATTCAATGTCAACCTATTTTACAGTTGTAACGGGTGGCTTTTCCTGAAGTTCCTTTGTGGAAATGAAGAATTCATTGGTAAAAACCTCCTACTTGTGAGGGAGAACACTAAACAATCTTTAATAGCAAATTGCCTGGGATATCAGCTCATTCAAGATCCCCTGGAACCACAAGTATTTAGTGGATGGATGCTTGTCACAGGTAGGTGACACCAGAGGATCAGCTATTGTTGGCCTGGGGCACATGACCTTGGCAGCAAAGTAAAAATCGTGTAATTAGGGTATAGACACCTTGACTTGGTCTTCAAGCCAGAAAGAGGGTCACTGATCCCTCCTTTTTCTTAACTCCTTGTTTTGTAACAGGCTAGGGCTTCAGGAAAAGCCATTTCCCTTGTTTCTCTGTTATCGCCAAAGGGAGACAGACACAGACAGACAGACGGACATTCCCCAGGTACCTGCAGAAGGATCTTGTTGCCGTCATGGTCCTCCGTCTGCCAGCGCCCCTCACTGATGGGGCTGCAAGGGTTGGGCAAGAGTGGCACCAGCTCGCCGATGTCCCTGACCCGGAACTCCAGCACGGAGGAGTCGGTGGGGACCGGGGTCTGGTCACAGGGCAGTCTCTTGAGGGAGAACTGGATGTCCACGTCCAGATTGGAGAAAATGGGGAAGATGCAGAAGTCCGCTTTCTTCTGGCTGGGGCTCCGCCTGAGGATCAGCTCGTAGAACTTGAGGATGTCCGCGTAGTTGTCATGGCGACAGTAGATGGTGAAGCGCACGATCTCCTTGCCGTAGTGCACCGGCCGGATGGCCCAGAGCGGCGTCCCCGGGGCCAGCGTGAAGAAGTCCTGGCTGCAGGGCAGGTAGGGCAGGAACCTGCTGGGCACGCGCTCCGTGTGGTGGTGGCGCCAGGGCGGCCGCTGCAGCGTGCGGTGCAGCTGCAGGATCGGCTCCTCGCCGTATTCCTCCTGCAGGAAGAGCACCACCGCCAGCGCCGGCTGTGCCGCCTTGGGGGCCCTCCTCCGCCGGCGGCACGCCCGCCTTTCCGAGACCGTGAACAGCGGGAGGTCCGGGTGGATCCATGCCAAGACCTTGTCGATGGCCTCCTGCAGGGGGCGGGATTCCCCTGGGTCCGCGATGATGTGGATGCTGACCAGGAAAGGGTCCTGCGCCTCCTCCGTGGAGTACTCACCTAGCGACACACAAAAAGAAACCCCGAAGAACACACGGTGACTACTTCATGAAGGCGGCCCGCGATGACATGCAAGGTCTTGGCAGAAACAGGAGCTCCATTTGAACCGACTCCTTGATGATTATGAAATTCTGGTCCCAAGTTCACGTGCAAATACGACTGTTGCAGCACCCAGCCGCCTGCCAAGGCAGGAGACATAAGACACTCGGGTACCATTCCTGGGTCGGGAAGACCCCTGGAGGAGGGAATGGCAACCCACTCCAGTATTCTTGCCTGGAGACTCCCATGGACAGAGGAGCCTGGTGGGCTACAGTCCGTATAATGGCAAAGAGTCAGACAAATGACTGAAGGGATGTAGCCTGGCATATACAACAGCAGCCCCAAACTCAAGAACTATTACCCTAATAGTTAGCCGTGTGGTATTAGGGTGACCTTGGTGTGGTACTGCAGCAGATTGAACGTATCTTCCATTGAACAATACAGTCAAGTCTCCATGGACTTGGAAAGGCTACCAGGGCCCTTAGGGAAGAGCTATACATTAAGCATCAGGTGTGCAACATTTGCCTCCCAGGTGGTGCTAGCAGTAAAGAACCTGCCTGCCAATGCAGGAGACATAAGAGACATGGGTTCGATGCCTGGGAAGATCCATTTACACCATTAAGAACTTCCCAGAGTAACTGTAGTGCCTCCCCCACAAATGTTCCCTACACTGCTGTGCTCCTTTGGTTTGCTTCTTTTGTTAGCTTATTCATCATTTTGTTCATTCATTTAACATTTATGGAACCCTTTCTTCCCCAGGTACTTCCTCTAATGGACAAATCAAGCCCTGGCTGGTGAGGCATCCTGCTAACTGTCACGCTGGTGGGGTTGTCAGGTGGTGATCCCCTTGCTGCTGGAGACAGAGGGAAGAACAATCCGGGTGGAGGGGGTGAACCCCATGTTCTGTCAGAGCTTCCTGGGCCTGTGGTTGGGGGTGGGGTGAGGCATAGTTGGACCATCACGGCCCGTGTCATGCTGCCTTTTGGACCCCTCCTTGGGCCACATCCACCCAGAGGCCCACACATCCAAAGCGGGTCAGTTCCCCTCCCTATGTTCTCTGGCAGAACACCGGATTCCAAGTGCGAAGTTGACTGTTAACCTTTGCTACCTCCTCCCATGGGGTGAAAAGTTTGCCGGCTACACTACTTAAGAAGTGTTCAGCATATTTTATCAGATAACCTGATAAAAGCCTTGTTCTTATTCATAATGGCTCTCTTTTCATTTAAATTGCATGACCATCCAAGGGAAATCAAGGAAAATTTAAGTCTACTGTGACTTGGAGGGCAAGATTCATCTAGCATCTAGACCTGTCTCCATATACATGCCTCGCAATGTCCACTGGGGTGTTAGGCACAGGGCCATCATGCTGTCGGTAACATTTGAGAAGAATGATGTCCTTGTAAGAACCATCATTTCAATCGGTTCACATGATGAAAGGTGATTTTTTGGTAGTTAAACAAGACATTTCAAGTGGGTTGACAGGTACTTTTCATCACAGGCACCTATAATAACATGGTCTTAATTTTGCTGGAGCAAAACCTGTCTGAATTTTCATTGGAACCCTGACTCTTAAATCTCTCACTTGGGAACATTTGTGTGTGTGAGCTCAGTTGTGTCCAACTCTTTGTGACCCCATGGGCTATAGCCCGCCAGGTCCCTCTGTCCATGGAATTTTCCAGGCAAGAATACTGGAGTGGGTTGCCATTTCCTTTTCCAGGGAATCTTGCCAACCCAGGGATTAAACCTGCATCTCCTGCATTGGCAGGTGGATTCTTTACCACTGAGCCACCAAGTGGTGGTGGTGATTTATTCACTTAGTCATGTCGGACTCTTGCAACCCCATGGACTGCAGCCTGCCAGGCTCCTCTTGTCCATGGAATTTTCCAGGCAAGAATACTGGTGTGGGTTGCCATTTCCTTCTTCAGGGGATCTTCCCAGCCCAGGGATTGAACCTGCTTCTTCTGCATTGGCAGGTGGATTCTTTACCACCGCACCACTTGGGAAGCCCATTTTGGGAACATTTAGCTCAGTTTGTTGTTGTCTGTTTCTCCTTCACTCATTCATCCACATGTTTCTTGAGCGATCGATATGTACCAGGCACTGGGGGACAAGGAAGCTGGCACCATGACTACTACACAGTCCATTAATACAGGCTCTGGCATGACTAGTGCCCCCTTAGAGTATATGACCTGCACAGCCACAGGCAGCAGCCATAAAAAACCATGAGCCACAAATGAGACTCTCATAACTTAGCTGGGAAACACCAACATAAAAAATTAAAATTCAATCTGACATAAATCTATAGGAAATACGGTACAGGAGCATCTTCGACGCAGGAAGAGTCTAAAGTCACAATGACATAAACATTTACTATAGATGATCTACCACTGAAAGTCCCTTGAATTTCCAAGATGGAACTGGAAGGTCCTGACTTGAAACAAGACCACACAGCCCAGATAGATGTTCCTTTGGTTGACCAGTAAATGAAATAAAGGCTTGTGGGATGGTTGTTAAAAGAGTCTTGTATCATTTAAACACTAGACCCCTCTCAGTAGGCTGTGTCTTTCATCTACAAGAGGCTTCTGGAACTAATGTAATGATGACTAATGTAACAGCAAAGTGAAGTCTCCGTACTCCCACAATCATGGAGTTGAATGGTGGGTGGAATTATTTTAAGTTCTCTCTCTGGTTGAGCATGTATTCCCAAACTGATACAAGTTAAGTATGAGCATGATGTAATTTCAATTTACTATCATATCACAAAGGAAGGAGCAATTTTTTTTCCACAGGGCCTCTGAGAAGGCTTTCTGGAAGAGGGTCCAGGTGAATTGGGTTTTGATGGGTCAACGACATCTCACAATAACCCCAAATGCAGGGGAGATCACTGCAGGAAGAGGGAAGACTGTTTATGAAGGCACAGATCGGTATGAAAAACAAGCGCATTTGGAAGTGGGTGGTGAGTAACTCTGAAACACAGCAACAGATGCAGACGGAAAAATGGATTGGAGCCAAGTTGTACAGGGCTTCAGCTCAATTTGGGAGTGATAAGGGGGCAGTGGAAAGTTTTAATAAAGGGATGTTGGGATCAAGTCAGGGGAGGTTGGCTACAGGCAAAGTAAGAAGTTAGAAAATGAGTGATGAGTCTAGTAAGAGATAACAAGGATGTGGGGAATTACATTACTGACCCTGGTTCTTTATTCTCTCGTCACCTTTCTTTCTGCCATGTGGCTTTGTACTTCCTTCCACTAAATGGTTAAAATGCATTTCTCTACCCTTTGACTTTGAACAAGACTATATGGCTAGGTTTGGCCAATAGAAACACACAACAGTGGCATGTGTTTTGGCTTGCCTTCCTGTGCTTCTGACATTTCCACAAGAAGAACATGCTTGGGTCAGCCCACTGGAGCCAGAAAGAAGGATGAGAGCCATGGGGAGCAGACCCAGCCTACCTGAGCCTGGCCTCCATCGGCCAGACACCCAAAGACATGTGGGAAGAGCCACCCAACTGAGCTTGGTCTGGATCAGCTGACCCAAGCCACTGTTTGGGGATTGTTGTTACACAGTGATACTTACAGCTGCAGGCAGAGTCAGTGGGTGTACAGAAAAGGCATAGTCTTAGGCTATTTAGGAAGCATAGGGAGTCCAGGGCCTGGGGATGGGGGCAGGAAAAGGAGAGGAGTTGACCTTGATGTTTCTGGCATAAGTAACATGTTTGATATTGATATTTAACTTGAGATAGAAAAAAGATGTTTAACTGTGATAGAAAAAACCTGCCATTTTTCTGTGGGGAGGTTTGTGGGGAAAGATGAGCTCTTCTTTGGCCAGGCTGGCTTGAGATGCCCGAATGACTTCCAGGAGGGATGTGTTGTTGGCAGTGGGCCTGCGTGTTGCTGAGGTGATGGGCTGAGCTCAGGGATGGACCAGTTACCTTTAGGCCACATTCACGTCCATGCAGTTATCTCTTAAGTGTGTGCCCACATTGAAAGAGTCGGATGCGATTTAGCGACCCGAACACCAACACGTTGATTTGAACCAGTGAAAATTCACCTGGATGGCTTAAAAAACAATCAGAATTCGTGGATGATTCTGGTCTTTTTCTTTGCATGCTCTTTCTGCTCACCTGGCTACTTTCTGTTTCACTGAACATGAGCACTACTACCAACAGAAGTGCAGTTGATGCAAAAGTAGTGAACACACAGAGCAATGACATTTCCCACCAGTCAGGAACTTCAGTGATGGCGGTAGGAGACACCACAGTCGCCAGCAATGCCTATTTCACTTTTCCATGGTGTCCTCATCACCCACCAGTGGAGATACATGATTCACTAAACAGTGATGGATGCTCACTATGAATGGAAAAGAAGGGCTTTGAATAATTTGGGGATGAAGACACTCACTTGAGAAGATTACTAATGGTTTCTATGAGGGAAAGACAGACACTTGCGGTAGTAAGAAGTGTTGGGGAAATAAGTCGTCAGAGCATCAGACAGTCCCAATAAGATCCTGACGCCACCACACTCGGGGTGTGCACGTGGCCACGGATGTGGGGTGAAGTTGTTGGCTCACACACAAATGACATTGGCCATGGGCTGGCACCTTCTTGGTGTTCTATATGTATGAACTCAAGAAATCCTCATAAACAACCCCAAAAGGAGGAGGTATGACTCTCATCCTCATTTTATTATTTTTAAAGTTTATTTAATGGGAGGCTAATTACTTTACAATATTGTGATAGTTTTGCCATACATCGACATGAATCAGCCATGGGTGTACAGGTGTCCCCCCATCCTGAATCCCCCTCCCACCTCCCTCCCCACCCCATTGCATTGGGTTGTCCCAGAGCACAGCTTTGAGTGCCCTGCTTCATGTGTTGAACTTGCACTGGTCATCTGTTTTACATATGGTAATATACATGCTTCAGTGCTATTCTCTCATATCGTCCCACCCTCACCTTCTCCCAC